ATTTATTACTCACAGTTCTAGAGACTGGGAAGTCTAAGATCAAGGTGGCGGCAGAGTTGGTATCTGGGGCTGACCCACTCCCTGGTTCATTGATGACGACTTCCCGCTGTGTCACCAGGTAGTGGGAGGGGCAAGGGAGCTAGCTTTATGAAGTCTCTTTTATAAGGGCACTAATCCTGTTCATCAGGGCCCTGCCCTTATGACCTAATCACTTTCTGGAGACCCCACCGTTTAATGACACCACTTCAGGGGTTAGGATTTCAACATATGGATTTGGAGGGGGTCAAGATATTCTTACACAGCAATGAAGAATAAGCTTGTGACAGAGCCTTTCCAAACCACAGGAAACTCTTACTGCTGTTACTAATGAACAAAAGGGAGAAACTATATTGAAGAAAATATATTTGAATTTTAGTCTCAAAATTGAAGACTAGGGACTATAGAAAACATCAACTCTAAGACAAATTTAATAGTATATTTTGGATTATTAGAGAACAAGGGAGGCTCCCCAGAACCTTATAGCAATTGTCTACTTTACATCTTTGTATCCCCAAAGTGAGATGATCATAATTTTCAAGACAACTCATGATTTCCCCCAGTCAAACCTGTTTTGTTTTCCCCTGTCTTAGCATACTACCCCAATGTCATTCCAGTTGATTCTCTATACTGTAGCCAGAGCAACCTTTTCAAAACTCAAGTCGAATCCTCTCCACCCCTGGGTTTATCCCTTCTTCTACTCAAGCTAAGCTTGTCTTCCTCTAATTTTTCTCGTTACAGGGCCTTTGCACATGCCATTTTTATGTCTAGAATGCTGGGTCCCCTGCGCTGCTCTAGCCCCCAACCCCTGTACCCAATTTAACTTTGGCTTTCATTTCAAACATCACTGGAAATGACTTTAAGAGGTCAGAATGTCATTAGCATAGTCTTTTAGTCTCTTTTGTAACAGTTATCAATGTAGTATTTTAGTTATTTTATATAAGCAAGACATACAGTTTCCATCCTTGGGAGGCTTACATTGTAGTTGGGAGCTGGGGGAGACATTAATAATATATGCAGAAGCTCCTTTATCTGACTATTGGATAGACAATTAGTGGGTTAATTAAAAGTCAAATACATCAGGAAATTATTTTTGATAGAACAATCTATTCATTTTGACTTAAAACATAAATATGCATGTATGGATTGCTAATTGGTATTCTCTCAGGTCTTTTGTTGTTTATACTATACCTAACTTATACTCTGTTGTTTTCATTTGGAATATATTCTTAAAAAGTTGAACAAGAGCCTGCGCGTGGCGCACGCCTGTGGCTTGGGAGTCTGAGGCAGGAGGATGGAGAGTGCAGAGCCAGCTTCAGCAAAAGCCAGGTGCTAAGCAACTCAGTGAGACCCTGACTCTAAATAAAATACAAAACAGGGCTGGGATGTGGCTCAGTGGTGAGTGCCCCTGAGTTCAATCCCCAGTACAAAAAAAAAAAAAAAAAAAAAAAAGTTGAGAACTTTGAAACCATACAAATATAGGATCTTTGATTTTTAGTTATTTTTTCCTTTTTTCCTACCCTCTCACACTTGCCTTACCCACACCTGTTCTGGCAGCCATTTTCCCAGACACACCCATATTTATTATTCTTAATGGCGGCTGTGGGGTTATGTTGGCGTGTGTTGGAATAAGGCAGCTTCACACTGGTGAGCACCCAGGAGGGCCAAGGAAGGGCCCCACAGCCAATGGCTTCTTCCACAGTTGTCCCCAGTGCTCCCATGAGTGCATGCTGCTTTGCCCTGTTGGCCATGAGTGAGGTGATTGTGGTCAACACAAGCCCCAGTGCCCTGTGCCTGGTCCCACATTTCCCAGAAGTTCTGTGTGTTTGTTCTGGTGGAAGTTATTTCCTTGTGTTTCAGGGCAGAGGGGTTAAACTACAAGATGTTCCCTAGTTGCTTTCTTTTCCTCACGTCCACAGCCCCTCAGATTCTCTGGTATCTCTTGGAGTATTTGACTCAGCAGGCGTTTTCTTTGTTTATTTTAAGGGGGACTGGAGTACAAATGTCAGGGGCTCTACTGACCTTACATTCCACAGTGCTGGGCGTGCTGCAGCCAGACCAGCTGCTGTTTCACGTGGTGCACCCCAGACTTCCTCATCAACACTCTGCTTGCACCATAGCCCGGGGCTCCTTCCAAGGACAGCAGGTCACAGGCCTCTGTCCCTTCTCCTGTGATCCATGCAAGCTTAATGTCAAGTGGGAAACCTTTTCCTAGAGGAGGAGCAATTAGCTGCTGTTACTCCTGGCCCCTTAGGGGGGAAGACTGCATCCTTCTTTCTCTGACCTCCTTTTAGTTGGGGGTGCCACACCTCTTATTGCATCAGGGATGGTGATAACAGAGAACATTCCTTGATTAATTAGCTGCTTTATCTGCTACTAAATTTCTGTTGTGTTTGCAGCTTATCTGTTTATATGTCTGTGTTTCTCCATAACCTATGAGCCTCCAGAAGGCAGTGTGTAAAAGGGGCTTTAGAGCCAGATGGACCTTGATTCAGATTCTGGCTTTGCCATTTACCAGCTGTTCTAACCATAGGCAAATACCTTTAAAGTTTTTGTGCCTCTGTTTCCTTCTGGGCACAATAGGGTAATAATACAGATGCACCTTCACTTACAACCCAGTTATATCCTTGATAACACCATGGTAAATCGGAAATACTGTAAAAAATGCACTGAATACATCTAACCAGCTCAACATTATAGTTTAGCCTCGTCTATCTTAAACGTGCCCAGAACACTTAACTTAGCCTCCAGTTGGGCAGAATCAGTGGAGACAAAACTTATTAATAATAAAGTGTTAAATATACATGTAATTTATTGAATACCACATTAAAAACAAAAACCAGAAAAGATGTATGAGCTTGCTGTTAGAAATACTGGGGTGCCACCGGGACTCAAAAATGTGCTTGGAGTAGCTCAGCCAGGCCAGCTTTACATCTGCAGAAGGGTGTGTGCCTCAAGCAAGCACGTTGCCACCCCCCCCCCCCCAGTCCGGTTTTTATCCCTAATGCTGCACTGCCTCTTGCTCTGATAGGAGGAGCTTGGGGTTATAATCTATGCAATTGGCTATTTTAAAAGTTGGGGCGGGCACAGGAGAGGGCGATAGTTAAAATGGTTACAACTGAATCTCCAAATGGCTAGGATTAGATCTCATATCCCAATTTAGATCTCATTTCCCAATTAAGACTCAACACTATATTCTGAAAATGGACCACTAGACTTTCTATTTCTCACAATGCTTTGACATCATCATAAATTGAAAGTTTTTAAGTCAGGGACCATCTGGAACAACTTCCTTATAGGAATTTTGTGCATATTTTTAAAAGATATAGCATAGAAGTGATTTATCACAGTGCCTGGTTTGTCACAAGCAGTCACTAAAGGTTGACTGTGAGGCTGCTGCTCATATTCAAGTCCCAGCACTGTGTTAGTTTCTGTAAGTATTGTTGAATGAATTGATGTAGTGAGTAAGGTCTGAAGTACTTGTTAGCCCCTGGAAGCATTGAAATGCTAGATCTAGATCTGGTCTTGGATGGGGTGCCTGCCCCTGCCCATAAAATGAAGCCCATCTCTGGAGCAGATACCCTTCCAGAAGAGCAGTTCACTGAGTTGGGGTTATTGTGGGATTATTGTGTTATACTATATGGTAATAGCATCACTTATTTTATTCATTGTTTATTCATTATTAATGAAGAAGATAGGGGAATGGGCCCCCAAAGAGGCTTCTCTAAATGAATAGGTTGTTCCTTGAAATTAACCTGTAGAAACATTCCAAATTTATCTGCAAACTCCTTGTCCTGGGGCAGCAGAAAAAGGGAGGTGGGACAGATATGAGTGAAGGCTACAGACTCAGGACTAACCAATTAGAATGTTTCAGGCTGGTCCAATAGCTGTAACACTTTCCCCATACCTGATCAGCATAGACATTGACCAATTAACCTTGGTACTTTTTCAATACCTGATAGCATAGATATTGACCAATAGCTTTGGTACTTTTCCAATACCCAATTAACACAGTATTGATTAGTGCCCTTACCTAGTAAATCCCTAGACTAGCACACTTAACTACAGTCCCTGTTGGGCTTTGTTTCACCCTGGGGAAGCTCTATTTTCTTCTCACTTTGATGAGTCCTACTCTTTTATACTCATGTGTCCTTGTCTGTGGTTTTTCATTCTTCCAGTTGACAAGACAACCTGGAGAGAAGTCACTGGAAGGCAGCGGGGGTCTGCTGTAATACTACAGCAGCAGAGGCTGAAAATGCGGTTTCTTTTGGGAACCTGAATTAGTGCATCAGACGCATTTCTAACAGATGGGGGAAGCAGTTTGCAACCTTAAGTGATATGCATTGTATGTAAAATGAGGATTTTGCTTTTCTTGAGGAGAACGAGATTCCACACTGTAATGAAAAAGCAGTTCCTGGTGTGTCCACAATTGAATCAAAGAAATGCGCCCTTCAGAAGTCCTTGAAGATTCCCTGAAACAGAATTCCGGCAATGCCAGGTTAAGGGTTGAAGTCAACATATGACCACCCTGCTGAAGTTCTAGAATTTATTTTTAAAAATTCATTATTTTTATTTTAGTAGTTCTTTTTGTTGTGAATCCATGGAACTGTTTGATATATCCTAGGTAAAGAGTCTTTTTATAATTTTACTGACCAAATTAAAATCACCAGCCTTGAAAAAAAAAAAATTAGATTTGTTTTCTTTCCTGGCCTGCAGCAAGCCCTCTCCCATTTCCAACTGTGGGGTCAATAGTGCTAGATAGCTGGCACAATGACAGGGCTGTAGAAAGGACATCTGCCTCTGTGGCTCTCACAATGAATGAAGACCACATCTCACTTAAGGAGTCCATCAGGGATATTCAGACAATCCCGGTGTTAGGTGCCTCTGACACCAACTGCCTTTGTTTTTTTTTTTTAAACATAAAGCAGCAAAGATATTATTGTGGTTTTTCCTCCTCTTTTCAGATCTGATGTTTTGACTTGGCTTCCTGCTTCAATTCTGTTTGTGGGGAAAATCTATGCTGGGTCCAGGGCTTTGTCCAGACTGGTAAGTATTAGAGATTGGGGTGGGGAGGGATGACCCCTCTCTCTCCCCTTCCTCTTTGCCTTTTAACATATTGCATGTGGCATCTGTCTCATCCATGGGTTGGAGGCAAAGCATCAGCTTTAGTAATGGTAAAGCTGGATTGGAGGACAAGTCTTGGGTCTGAGCCAACATGGGACATTACCCCTGCTTTCACCGAATTGAAAATAACCTGAAAATCAGAAAGGGCCAGCTTATCTTGCAAGGATGGAGCCATTCAAGGGAAAAGCAGAAGAGAAGCAACAGGCTTTGCTTCAGCAGCCTTCAGTGGAGGCCAGCTCTCCACTTGCTTAAGTCAGGCTGTCTACGGGGGCAGGAGGGTGGGGTGGGGGCTCAGTCTGCTCCCTACTTCTGAGGAACTCAAACCCTGCCTACTGGTAACATGGTGCAGAGGATGCTGGCCTCAGTCATGGACACAAATGCCTGGTGCAGAGTTGATACCCAGTACATGGGGATGTTAGTAAAATAAATGATCTGTTCTGTTTTCCCACCCTCTCCACCCAGTACTGAGCTCCCCAAATGTAGGAACTATGAAAACCAGAGCTGCTTCCAGATCCCTCAAAATATTTAGTTGTGATAAAGAGAAACCATCATTGATGGAAGGTGGCATAAAAATCAGGAGTGGCATTAATGTCTGCCCCCACCCCCAGGGCTGGGATTGGAATTCATGGCCTTGTGCTTGCCTGGCAAGTGCTCTGCCACTGAGCCATACCCCCAGTCTTCCTGCTCCCTTTTAATATCCTGCTATTTTTGTTTGTTTTGTGGTACTGAGGATTAAACTCAGGCTTGTTCTTCCAGTAAGCTGCACCCCCAACCCTTTTAAAAACATTTTTGATTCAGTCTCTACATTGCCCAGGTTGGCCTCAATCTTGCAATCCTCCTGCCTCAGCCTCTCAGGTGGTTGGGATTAAAGTCATATGCCACTCCTGGCTTGCCGTTTTTCTCAGAAAATGTCTGTGTTCTGACTTTCAGAAAAATGTGACTTTGCAAAAGAATTCTGTCTTTTTATATTGTTTGTTATATTAGTCCCTGAGATTTCAGATAGAACAGTAAAAACAAACAAGTAAACAAAATCCACTTAACTGCATAACAATGTTGTAAAATAGCAGTGGAGAATGTAATTTCTAAATTAAATCATCGTTTTTCTTTCCTGATTCATAAGCTTGAGAAGATGGAATGATACATACAGTGGGAGAAACTTCCTGGGTGGGCCTAAGAACTGACCTGCAGTGCATGTTGGTGCTCAGCCCAGAACATGCAGCTTGAGCTGGTTTTCTGTCTTGGTTCCATCAGGCCTGTGGGCTCCTATGAACCTGCTGCCTCACTTTACATCCTTTGTCCAGCAGAGGGCGCGTATCTTCTCCTACAACAGGATTTGGTGGGGGAAAAAAATTGTTGCTCAAAGGCTTTTACAACTTTTTCCTAGGCTCCAGATAATTATGGGTGCCAGAATTTTGAAGGTTGAATGAAAAACGCATTGTGCTCATAATACTTTCTGTTCGAAGAGTGCTTTTGTATGGGTTTCCAGAGTATTTCCTTTGTATCTTTTTCTGTGATTCTCATAATCACCAAACAATTGGTGGGTGAGGCAGATGCCAGTTAGCTGACACAGGAAGAGATGTTGGTGTGGAAAGTCTTGCTAACCTGCCTCTAGTCCCAGGTAGTGGCAGCTCTTCTGGATCCCCACCTTTTGTCGTTCCAGATTTGTGTCTTTAGGACCAATGCATAGGATTTTCCCTCTTCTGCACTAGGGATTGAACCCAGGGGTGCTTGCTCTACCACTGAATTATATCTCTGGCCCATTAATTTTTTTTTTTTAATTTTGAGACAAGGTCTTGCTAAGTTGCCCAGGCTGGCCTCGAACTTGCAGTCCTCCTGAGTAGCTGGGTTTACAGGTGTGTGCCACTGCACCCAGCTTGGATTTTTGAATGAGCCCAAGGTAAAAATAGTCATGCATAACTTAAGACCCTTTTGACTGCATGTGTTAGAAAGCTTACAAACTAGTCTAAACAAAAGGAAATTTACTGGTATAAATAAAAATTGTAGGGTAGAGACCTACCTGAAGTGTGCCTTGATTCAGGTTCAATGACAGCTTCTTTCAATGTTTTTCTGTTCTCTTCTCTGTCTTAGCCCCATTTCACAGCCAGGCCATCCTCTCTTAGGTGTTATCTCCAGGCTTACTTTCTTATAACTGAACTGGAGACAGTCTTACTAGTAGTTCCTGTATGAGTTCCAGGTTTCCCTTAGATTCAATCAGTCAGGGCCATTGCCTATCCCTAATCTTAAAACTAGTCGGGAGGATGGAATTACGTTGATTGGCTGGCCCTGGATCTTGCTTCCTGAAACAACTGCTGTGGATGGAGAGGTTGGGAACACTGATTTACTATCCCTGGCCATAGAGGGTCCCCACCTGGATCCCATAGACGAAGAAGAGGGTGTGGCAGATTCTCAATAGAGAAACCATAACAACAACCAAAAAAGGGACAGGGATATGAGGTGGGCTAAAGTCCATTGTAAATATCACTCTTGCGTAGCTTTAGGCAGATGGGGAGTCCTGTAACCTAGAACATTGTTTCTCGAAGTGTGATCCACAGGTGCACTGATCTTTGAGTTCCTTGTTACCTGTGAGAAGATCGCGCCAGGACATACATCAGCTTCAGCACTAAACATACTTGTTTCATTGAGTGTCTGTGGCTGCTGCTTTTTAACAGCAGAAGAAGGAAATAGTGCATTGATTTACATGTTGTGTGAGCTCCTTCTCTTCTCCTGTACCAGCAGTGGAGTGACTTTGACCTAAGAACAGCCTTCTTTAACCAGCAAAGAGAAGCCACTCAATTTAAACTCTTTGAACCAAGGGAAACAACCCAATTCCAAATATGCCCAATTAGAGTAAGAGGAAGATGGGTGGGAGACACTTACTATTGTTTTTTTAACAAAAGGACTCAATCCAGCATCTTTTCTTTGTTTTTACACAGTTGCTTCCTAGGGTGGGTAAACATGAGGCATTGGTACAGTTTGTGTTGGATAGAAAACAGACATCAATATGCTGCTGCCAAGCTGTCAGTTTAATGAATCCATAAGGAATTAGGGGGAAAATACTTAGTTAAAATCTGTGGGTGTGTTGTTATGCAAAACACTTTCAAGGTAGCTCTCCCATGAAGACTCCGTGATGTGGCAAGGCTGTGAAGTTCAGTTCTGATGTGCAGTGCCCAGGAGGAAGCCAGGCAACCTCTGCAAGGGCCCTGTGGAAAGAGTTCTTTGTGGATTTTTCTCCACCTCGAACTCACAAACAAATGATACGTAGAGTTAAATATTATTTTTGTGGTTATCCATTAAGAAAATATTTATTTGGGACCTACTGTGTGCTGGGGCTTAAAGACAAAGAAGACCTGGTTCCTGACTTTGAGGAACCGGAAGGGATGAGAGGCAATGAGAGATACATGGCTCCCCACAGGGGCAGCCACCATGAATACTCAGTGTCAAGCATGTGCTGGGTGCTTCCTGTGTTGCCAGTTTGGGTGTCATATGATGTTGAACTTACTCTCCCTTCGACACAGCTGATTCTGACCTGCCTGCCCATACACTGCATGACGTCACAGCGGTGATGGCTCTGATGGTATGAGTGCCAATCTTTGGACAGCATAACTTTGACGTTTCATTGTCACTCTCATTATAATTTTCTGCCTTAAGTCTTCTCCCCTACTCTGGGTTGCCTCAAAGCCTGTGCTGGAGAGTGTTTAGGACAGATGTACAAATTCCTACATGAGTGAGCCTGCTGGGGAGAGGCCATGGTGCTGGTGATTCACCTGCTGCTCAAACCATGTCATTCTCTTGCTTAGGGAAGGCCAGGGTCAGCAGTTGGAGAGACTGTGCAAATCTTGGTTAAGGCACCTTGACAAGGCTGGAATTGGTTTTCTTGCTGACCTCTTTGAACTTGATTTTTCCTAACTGCTTGTCATGGTTTGTCTCTTGCATGAGCTCAGCAGCCACTCAACACATTGTGGGTGGAGATGAGATGGAGGGAGGTGTTGATGAAGGACATGCATCAATAATTAAATCCATTTGGAGTGAATTACTCAGTTAAGCAAGATGGAACTTGTGAGTCTCCTCTGCCTTTGGTTCCAGTATCACATAAAGGGACTTGGATCCATAAATGAAAGAATCTAAGTGTTGATGTTTAAAGGAGAAGCTGTCCTCCTCTTACTGCTGAGTAGGGGTTGCTTTTCTTTTTTCATATTGTTTTCTCATCAAGGCTGTTGCAGTTCAGTCAATCTACAAGGATTACTTTGTTCAATCTACACTGATTACTTTTTAAAACATGGGCTTGGCAGCAATTCAGTAAACCCCTCCCAAGATTTTCATTATCTTCTTGCTACATCTAAAAGTGTTTCCCATAATCTTATAAAAGATTATGGACTCTGGGGAAAATATTTATGACATTGGATTTGACAGTAATCTCTTGGCTATGGTACCAAAGGCATAGGCAACAAAAGGAAAAAAATAGACTAACTGGACTTCATTAAAACTATAAACTTGGGTGCATGAAAGGATACTATCAACAAAGTAAAAAGGCCACCTAAAGAATGAGAGAAAATGTTTGCAAACTACTTCTCTGATAAAGAAACATTATAGAGACTATAAGGAGAACTCTTAAAAATCAACAGCAAAACCCAAACAATCTGTAATCCCAGTGGCTCTGGAGCCTGGGGCAGGAGGATTGTGAGTTCAAAGCCAGCCTCAGCAATGGCGAGGCACTAAGCAACTCAGTGAGACCCTATCTCTAAATAAAATACAAAATAGGGCTGGGGATGAGGCTTAGTGGTTGAGTGCCCCTGGAGTTCAACCCCTGGTACCAAAACAAACAAACAGAAAACATAACAAACCCAAACAACTTGATTAAAAAATCTACAAAGGACTTGAATAGACATTTCTCCAAAGATGATTGATTTATAAATGGTCATGGA